AGAGCACACCTGTGGACGGAAGCCCAGGGCACGAGGCCACAGGAGCCTCAAGGAGGCTGGGGGCACCAGCTCCTCCCCACAGCCCCCTAGCTGGGTCCCGGTGTCACCCAGGCAGAAGTGCAGTGACACAATGCAGGCTCCTGCAGCCTTGGCCCCCGGCCTCAAGCAATCCCTGGCCTCGTCAGCAGCTGAAGCAACAGGTGCCGCGACACCCCTGCGCTGAAGCAACCATACCTGTCCTTCCTGTGGGCCAGTTCTCAAGGCCCGGAGGGAGGGCTCAGCTGCAGCGGCCACCAGGACATGGCCAGAGTGGGCAACCGGAAGCCGGCCTCCCAAGACAGCAAGCTGGTGTCCACGAGACTGGCCACAGCGTGGGTGGCCCAGCCCTCGGCCCCTGCGACTCACGCCACCCCATTCGACCTCCCTCATTTTAGCCAACAGACGGACACGATCCAGACAAAAAAGAAAGAGCCTTTTTATTAGCATTGTTACAGGCAGTGCATTCCGTGAGCTGACCCTGTGGACCACCCGCCCGAGCCACGGCGCACACACCAGTAGTGAACTGTCTATTGTACACAGTGCAGAACAGGATCACCCTGAATGTCAAACAGAAGACCAGAATCACTTTACAAAAAAAGAAAATAAAAATAACACCCATTTGTACGTTGAAGAAAGTGCCAGCCCTTGAGCCTGGAGCCTGCGAAGGCCCCGGGACGTGCCCGCGGGCACTCCTGCTGGCAAGCCGGCCACGGGGCCAGGCCGCCTGGCTTCTAAGCTCGCCCGGAGCTTCCGGGTGGCCCCTTCGGAGTACTTCCAACCCGAGACCTGCCCTTCTGCCCCCTCCCATCCTCCCAGCATGTCCCCTCGCCCTCAGCCAGCTCCCTGTCCCCAAGCTTGGAGACAGAGGCTTCTGCCAGGCCAAATCCAAGCACAGAAAAGATGAAAAACCCAACACCAGACCCAAAGCCAGAGGACAGTGGGACCGGGCGCACGAGACAGGCACGCCGGTCCCGCGAGTTCTGCTTTGGTAAATACGAACATGTGACCAGTTAGCAAAATATTTAACCCAGTTAGCAAAATTAACGCCGCCATTTCGATAGTTACTCTTTTGTGCATAGTAAATGCTGCAGGATGAACTTCACATTTGAGAAAGCAGATTTAAAAACCAGTTTGCCAGAAAGTGTGCCCACGGCGGGGCCTGCCCAGGAGGCGGCGGGCGACCCTCGGCTGTCGGCGGCGCGGCCCTAGATGGTCTGGTAGCCAGCGTGGCTCCGCTTCCTGCCCACCAGGTAGGCGATGAGCACGATGAGGACCAGCCCCGCCAGGGCGCCGCCCACAGCGATGGGGATGAGCATGTTGTTCTCGTCCAGCAGGCACTCCTCCACTGCAAGACAGGGCGCTGCTCGTGGGGCTGGACCGGGCCTCTCGCCCGCCCCCCGCACAGGGAAGCGGCAGGCCCGAGGCGGCAGGAGCGCCGGCCGGCTGTGCCTCGCTCGGAGCAGCCCTGCGGAGACTGTCGGTCCCGTGTGGCTGGACAACCGCGTCACACGGGAAGACCACGCGGGACTCGGCAGCCACCACTCGGCAAGATGCAGCCGGGCAGCTGGGCTGCGTCCAGGGCCTCTGGGCCTTCTGGAGCGTGGGGCACGTCACACGTCGCTTTAGGCGCCCTTTTGGGAAGGGAGAGGAGCCACCACGTCCCTTATCCCGTGGCATCGTGTGCTCACAGGCGTCAGGTGCTCGGGACCGCTAGAGCAAGGGCATTTCTTTTCTAGGAGCTCTTGGATTGGGAAGAGGAAGCGTCTCTGCAGAGAAGGGGCCCTCCCCCGGCCCCCACAGAAGGACCGGCACCCACGGGCGTCCGAAGCGTGCCCGCCACCGCCACCCACGCTGCCTCTTGCCACTCACCAGCCCCGAACTCGTCGCCGTCCACCCTGAAGGCCTGCACCCACACTCGGAAGATGTTGACGGACAAGGCCTGCGTGACGCGCACACGCTCCTCGGCATTGCACTTGTAGGAGTTGCCCACCGTGGCCTGCAGCGCCCTCAGCGAGCTGTTGGCAGCTCTAAAGGTGGGATCTGCAAGGCACATGAGAGTCATGAGAGTCTAATGGAGGCTGGGCGTGGTGCCTCGAGCCTGTCATCTCAGCACTTTGGGAGGCCGAGGCAAGGGGACTGCCTGAACCCACGGGTTCCAGACGAGTCTGGGCAACCTGGTGAGACCTTCCTGCTACAATACATCAAAAAATAAGCTGGGCGTGGCAGTGTTTGCCTATAGTTCCAGCTACTTGGAAGGTTGAGGCGGAAGGATCACCGGAGCCCAGCAGGTCAGTGCTGGGGTGACTGTGAGTGTGCCACTGCATTCCAGCCTGGACAACGGAGTGAGACTACGACTCAAAAAAAAAGTCTGATTCAGGGACACCCTGGGTGGGGGGTGGAGAGACATGTGAACTGCAGGGTCTCACCTCTGGCATCGGGAAGCGTCATATTCAACTGGATTCCTTGCAGGAAGAATCGGCTAGAGCTTGCATTCTTAAAAAGAAGGAGATGGTCCTCACCCACTTGTTAGAGCCACACACTCGGTCAGCATGAAAGGCCAGCTGGCCATGACCCCGACCTCACTTGATTCAGATAAGCACGATTAGGAAAGTTCAAATTCATTACAAGAAACAACTGTTAATTCATCTGCACAGTGTATTAAAAAGATTTACAGGCTGGGCGCAGTGGCTAAAGCCTACAATCCCAGCACTTTGGGAGGCCGAGGTGAAAGGACTGCCTGAGTCCAGGGGTTCAAGAGCAGCCTGGGTAACCTGGCGAAACCTTGTCTCTACAATAAATAAAAAATTAGCCAGGTGTGGTAGCGCACACCTGTAGTTCTAAGTTCCGGCTACTTGGAAGACTAAGGCAGAAGGATCACCTGAGCCCAGCAGGTCGAAGCTGAGGTGGCCGTGAGGGCACTACTACACTCCAGCCTGGGAGACAGAATGAGACTCCAACTCCAACTCCAAAAAAAAAAAAAGATTTATATGCCAGGCACAGTGGCTCATGCCTGTAATTCTAGCACTTAAGGAGGCAGAAGCAAAAGGATTACCAGAGCCCAAGGGTTCAAGACCAGCCTGGGCAACATGGCAAAATGTCATCTCTACAAAAAAAAAAAAAAAAAAAAATTAGCCAGGTATGGTGGCACATGCCTACAGTTCTAATTACCTGGAAGGCTGAGGGAAAAGGACCACCTAAGCCTAGCAAGTCAAGGCTGCAGTGGCCATGAGCATGCCACTGCACTCCAGCCTGAGCAAGAGTGAGACTTCGACTCAAAACCAAACCAAACAAAACAAAAGATTTGTAAGCGGTGCTTTCAAATACAATTTGCCAATTTTGCATGTGATTCTTCCCAGGCAGAAACACCACCCCCATGTCTCAGGGCAGCAGTGCTGCAGGCCAGGAGACCGGGCAGCCTCTAACCCAGGATCCTCAGCCCACACTCGTCCTCCCTGCACACCACAGGCCCACCGAAACGCCTGTGCTGTACACGTGGATGCTGGTGTCTGTTGACAGAAAGGGGAGGAGCCTGCGGTCCACAAAGGCCGGCAAGGAGGGGCGGCAGAAGCAGCCCCGCCTCCTCCTCCCTGACTGTGCGTCCCGTTGTCAGCCCAGCTCAGGCAGCCCCCGCCTCCCCAGGGCGCGAGAAGATGCAGCCGCAAGACCACCACAGCGAAGTCCCCAGAGCCTCACCATCCCGAACTGGAAGACCAGGAGAGCGACATCCTCGCTCCGCAGCTCCAGGGTCACCAGGCGCGCGCTGCAGCTCCCACTGACCGAGGTCTTGTTCGGGTTGATGTTGAGCACTCTAGTCACGGTCTAAGCAAGGAAAGCAAGCAAGTTATTCCAGGCTTGGCACTCCACACTCCTAAAGAAACAAGACGACCCTAAAACAGGTTCAAGGCCACACTCATTCTAACCAAAGTCAGAAGGAAAGGCAGTAAGACCAAACTAGTGCAGACTTCAGGATCCCAAAACAGTTTCCCCCATGACTCCTGATGAGTGCTCTCATATTGACATGTGCTGTGCGGACAGTGTCAGCCCCGCACCCAACAATCGCACACTTGAAAAAACATCCCTAGGCTGGGCTCCGTGGCTCAGCCTGTAATCCCAGCACTTTGGGAGGCCAAGACAAGTGGAATGCCTGAGCCTGCGGGTTCAAGACCAGTCCAGGCAACCTAGCGACACCTTGTCTCTACAATACATAAAAAATTAGCTGGGCGTGGTAGAGCACACCTGACTTCTAACTACTTGGAAGGATCGCCTAAGCCCAGCAGGTCGACTCTGGAGTGGCCGTGAGTGTGCCACTGCACTCCAGCCTGAGCGACAGAGTGAGCCTCCAACTCAAAAAAGAAGAAAATACATCCCCAGAGCAGCCAATCGCCGCCAAGGCCCCAGAGACTGTCACTATGGGGGAGAAAGACTGTCTCAAAAGGGAGCAGCCCGGAAACGAGTGGACGGCTCGCACTTAAGGAAGCCACATGCTCCAGCAGGCATGAGCACAAGTGAGTGCCTGGGGTCTATGGGCCCCACTCCTCTGGGCGGTGCGGACAATGGGATGGCTGTGTCCCGAGACGCCCGCGCCGCACAGGCACTGGCTCTCACTCAGGGCTCATGCTCTGCCGGCGGAGCCCCAGGCTCGGCCTGCAGTGACAGGCCCTCTCTGGCATCCGAGAGCGAGACGGGGAGTCGCCCTACCGTGTTGTCCTTCTTCTCGTAGGTGAGGTTCAGCTGCAGACCCATGGTGGCCAGCAGGCAGGTCCCGTTGGTGCCGCTCACGTTGTACTTCTCCACAGCAGGGCTCTCGGGCACAGGCGTGGGCGAGGGTGTGGGCCTGGGCGGCGCAGTGGTCGGGGAAGGCCCGTCCTGCTGACACCGTGTCTCTGGGGGCAGCGGAGACGGACCATGTTGCCCGTGGGATTCCCATCACCATCAGCAGTGACAGTAAGACCCAAACACAGAGCCAAAAACATCTCTCTGAACTCGCCATAGACCCCAAAGACCCCTGGTGACCATTTTCTCAGTCTCTCTGGCAGGGCACACTGGCCCCTTTCTAGAAGTGGGGGGCAAGTGAGGTCCTGCAGACCGTGGGCAGCTCGGGGCAGCAGGCCCGCCCACCTCGCCGTAACCCACAGCTGGACGCATCCACTGCACCGTCCTCTGCCTACTGTGCGTCAGAGGCCTGACGCTCTGCCTTGGAGGAACGACCACAGGAAGGCCATGCTGCCGGCCACTGTCACAGGCCCTGGACACGGGAGGAGGCCGACCGTCACTGGCCCTGTGCTAGAAACGTCACCCGCAGGACCAAGCAACAGAGTCCTCAGCACATGGACCCCAGCTAGGTACAGCCGCAGAGATCCGTGGCAAGATGGGAGTCAGGCAGCCTCCATGAGGACCCCACACGCGAGCAGAGACTCAACAGCAAACAGGGCTGGCCCGCTGCTGTGGGTTTTATTTTTCAAGTCGGAGTCTCACTCTGTGGCTCAGGCTGGAGTGCAGGGACATCTCACGGCCACCGCAGCCTCAACCTGTTGGGATCAGGAGATCCTTCCGCCTCAGCCTTCCAAGTCGCTGGAACCACAGGCAAGCGCGAACATGCCCGGCTCATTTACTGAATTACTGTAGAGATGAGGTCTTGCCAAGGTGCCCAGGCTGGTCTCAAACCTGTGGGCTCAGGCAATCCTCTCGCCTCGGCCTCCCAAGGTGCTGGGATGACAGGCATGAGCCACCGCGCCTGGCCTTCTTGTGTTTTATGTGGGCCATGAGGGCAGACACAGGCATCCTGGACTAGAGAGAAGGCCCAGTGACTGGATGAGCGCGTGCAGAGACCCCCAGACACAGAGGGAAACTCAGGAAGCGGGAGCAGGGTGCTCGCAGAAGGGGGTCTGCAGGGAGGGGCCGCCCAGCACCCCGAGGGCCACACTGAGCACTCCGGATGTGGCTTGGTCCTGCGTTTGATCCACCCGGATATTCACAACGAGAAATGTGCATCCTGACGCCAGGAGGACCGAGCCTCTGGCAGAGGTGTGGGCGGGACTGCAGGACTGCCACGCCCCCCCAACACTCTCTGGCTCCTCCATCCCACCCACCACCCCCACAGGGTATGGGAAGGGCGCGCCCAGAGACCCTGTAGATCGGCTTCATCACCCCCTGCCTCTTACTCTTTCCTTTTAACTTTTCAGCTGCCAACACCCGCCTTCACACTCCAGCCACCTGGGGGAGGAAAGAGACCAGGACTGCACCTGGGGGGTCGTTCACAACGGGCGAGCAGTGAAGCCCTTCAGGATGCACATGCCTACCCCGCTCTGGACGGAGCAGAATGATGCAGAGACAGGAGCTGCCCCCAGCTCGCAGAGGGACCTTCACCTTGGCTTACAGCGACAGAGCAGACGCCACTGGGGGAAGCCACCACCCGGAAACGTCCGACCCAGGCGGTGCTGACGGGCACCGCTCACTCATGACCCTGGCCTAGGCTGCAGGCTGGCATCATACCCGTCCTCTTAAAAACAGCCGCACCGTTACTTTTCAAGGCGCTACAGAAAACACGACCACACGTGCCAGCCAAATCAAAACGGCCAGGCTCCAAAGTCCAGGCTAGAAGGCCACATGCCGTGCGGAGAAAGAGCACGTGACGCGGCTTTCAGCCCGGGAGCCTCCGACATGTGCACTCCTGCCTCGCTTCCACAAGGGGATCCAGGCCGGAAACCTCAGGGACAAACTGCCCATCGGCGTCGGGCCTGGAGAAGACCGGGCGGGCCCAGGCCCTTCCCTCTCCCGGAATCACCAAGGCAGGCCCAAATCGACCCAGCGCGACTTCCACACCAGAGGGCCCGTGGCAAAGTGCGCTGGGACCGCCGGGAGAGCAGGGTGCTCCTGGGGCCGGAGCGCCTCAAGCGCCGTGCCCAAAGGGCCCTAGGGTCCCCACGTCAGAGCAGACCTCAGGGCCAACCTCCAGGCTGCGACCACGGCGGCCTCAAGGAGGGCAGATGCGTGCGCAGCACTTCTTCCCCCGAAGCTAGACTCCAGGGAGTCTGAGCCAAGAAGCTGCTGTCCAGCGGCGGAGGGGCAAGACTCGTGATGACCTATATTCAAAGGTCACTTCTGTTTTGAACGTCTCCTGGTCTCAGGAGTCCCTTGATTCGCTCAGCAAGCATCATCCAACTTTCAAGACAGCACGAAGAACATGACGCCTAATCCTCTGGGTGCCGGGCCGAGCCTCACCCCAGATCTACTGACCAGGGCACGCGGGCTGGGCTGGAAATCCAACTCTGATGGCTGAGTCTTGTCTCCAGGCAGAGCTCTCAGACCATTCCAGAATGATACGCATCTGCCCTACTTTAGAGATCCCCAAGAAAGAAGACACCTGTTTTCCTCAGAACTTACCTTCACCCACAAAGCCAGCCGAAAAGCCAGGCCAACCCTGGCTTGTGCTTCCCTTTTGTTTTAGACAGGGTCTCATTCTGTTGCCCGGGCTGGAGGCAGTGGCACCATCACAGCTCACAACAGCTTTGACCTCTTGGGCTCAGGCACACCTCCTGAATCTGCCTCCTACGTAACTGGGACTACAGGTGTGCGCCAGCAAATCTGTCTAAGTTTTTGTAGAGACAGGTTACACAATGTTGCCCAGGCTCATCTTGAATTCCTGATCTCAAGCGATCCTCCCACCTCAGCCTCCCAAAGAGCTGGGATTGCAGGCGTGAGCCACCACACCTGGCCATTATTTCCTTGTAAAACAAAATCTGGGCTGGGTGCAGTGGCTCACGCCTACAATCCCAGCACTTTGGGAAGTCCAGGTGAGAGGACTGCCTGAGTCCATGGGTTCAAGACGAGCCTGGGCAACTTGGCGAGACCTCGTCTGTACAATACATCAAAAACTTAGCTGGGCATGGTGGCACATGCCTATAGTTCCAACTACTTGGAAGGCTGAGGTGGAAGGATCGCCTGAGTCCAGTATATAGAGGCTGTGGTGGCCATGAGCGTGCCACTGCCCTCCATTATGGGTGACAGAGTGAGACTCAACTCAAAAAAATAAACAAAATAAATAAATAAAATAAAATTTGAGGCCAGGCAGGTGGCTCTCTCCTGTAATTCCAGCACTGTGGGAGGCCGAGGTGAGAGGACTGCCTGAGTCCAGGGGTTTCAAAGCCAGCCTGGGCAGCTTGGCGAGACCTCATCTCTACAATAAATCAAAAAATAACTAATCGGGCATGGTGGCATATGCCTGTAGTCCCAGCTACATGGAAGGCTGAGGTGGAAGGATCGACGGGGCCCAGCAGGTTGAGCCTGTGGTGGCCGTGAGCAGCATAGCACTGCACTACAGCCTGGGCGGCAGTGAGACTTAGACTCAACCCCCAACCAAAAAAAAGGCTGAGGAGGCGCAGACGTGCCCTCCAAGGAGCCCAGCTGCACGGGCTTGAGGGCACAGTCCAATCTGGGTACAACAGCTCCGCGTCAAGAGAATTCAGGGGAGTTTCTCCGAGCCCACTCTGGTTGGGAAGGTTGCCTTTACGCGAGACTCAAGAAACTACAAATTCAGATCCTGTAATTCAGATCCTGCTTCAGCACCATGTTCTGCCGCGCCAGGCAGGCCCGTGTGCACAGGCCTGAACGCGGACCCTTCAGCCCTGCACAGACCGGCCCCCACGGCGAGCAGAGCAAGTGCTGGCGGGGCTCTGGGCGGGTAGGGGCGTCACAAAGGAGTGGAGTGGCTGCACTCAATTCCGTCGTGTGCGTGCTCTTCTCGGCAAGAGGCCCGGGGGCGATCCCATAAGGGACGCAGCTCAACAGACGGCTCTGCAGGCTGAGCACCCTTCCGGTGACGAGCACGGTCTCCCCCGGGAGCCCCCCGGCCGACGAAGAGGAGGGTGCCGCAGACTGGGAGGGCAGGGGCAGGGCGAGCCCCAGCCCCTCCCTCCACCTCCGCACGTCCCCGTGGCCCGCAGAATTCCCGCACGCTCTGCCGCCCTGGAAAAGCAGCAGCATGTCCTTTGCAGAGCACGCGTACCTGCACAGGTAGACATGACATAAGACCCAGCCACGCCCCGAGGAGAGAGGACAGGCAGGACTCTCACGGGGTGGACGCCATTGGGCCGGCAGCAAAAGCAGGGAGGCCCTGAGCCACCCCGTGCTGTCCAAAGACCAACAGCACACCAGCCAGACGCAGGCGGGTGCCCACACCAAGTGCCAACGCCGACAGCCTGAGCAAAGCCAGCCAGTGCCCGGACACTGGCTGCTGCCCCCAGGAGGGCCACGTGGCTGGACTGGCGGCCGGACCTTTCCACTTGGAATCCTGCAAGTGTGGTCTGCACTACACAAGTAACTAGCGCAGGGGTCCGCAGCGGGGTGGTGTGTGTGGTGCCGCGAACACCAGGATCTGCTCGGATCTGCCGCGAACCTCGGCTGCTCTAAAGCTCAGGTCTACCCTAGAAAGGGAGTCAGCGGCCTTGAAAAGCTCAACAAGCCTCTCCGTACCCGTCAGCTTGACTCCAGAGAACGCAGCCCCACCTCAGGGCTCTCGGGGCCTTCCCCACGCCCACTCCCAGCCCCTCCCTCCGAGCCGAGAGCGGCGAGCCATCCCGTGCCGCGTTCCCCGGGAGCCACGGGGGGCAGCCGTGGCCAGCAGGGGTCTTCGGGCAAGGCCACCCGCTCCCTCGGGCCAGCACTCCAGCGGCGGTGGCTGGCTCTCTCAGCGCAGATGTGAGAGGACGGGCGGCGCCACGGCGGGCCTGCAGCGAGCCTCACTCCAGCCCGCTCGCCCTTCCCGAGGTACCCTCTGGCTCTGGCTAAGACGGCACATCGGCAGGCAGGAACACATCCGGACAGGGCTGGGCTCAGACACGCTCCCGTCGGGCGGGGAGGGGGCCTCTTCACGCACCAGAAAAGAGGCTGCACCCTGGCCCAGCTCCTACGAGTTTCCAGCTGAGCCCCCCACGGAGCCAACACAGCCTGTCAAGTTCTGGGCTCTCCCGGCGGCCCAGTGGGGCTTCCCCTGAACGGTCACTAACGCTCTTCCCACTGACCTGGAGGGGAACCTGCCGTAAAGCAGCAGGCAGTAGTTTGCTTATTTTTTTGAGTTGGAGTCTCACTCGGTCACCCAGGCTGGAGTGCAGGGGCACTCTCACGGCCACCCCAGCCTCCACCTGCTGGGCTCAGGTGATCCTTCCACCTCAGCCTTCCAAGTAACTGAACCACAGGTGTGCACCACCATGCCCTGTTGAGTTTTTTATTTATTGTAGAGTCGAGGTCTCGCCAAGATGCCCAGGCTGGACTCAAACTCCTGGACTCAGGCAATCCTCTCACCTCGGCCTCCGAAAGTGCTGGGATGACAGCCTTGAGTCACCATGCCCAGACAAACAGGCAGTATTTTATTATTTACTTATTTTTTGGAGTTGGAGTCTCACTCTTGTCACCCAGGCTGGAGTGCAGGGGTACGCTCTACAGCAATATTTTAAGATGGTGGACTGTGGCTCTGTGGGGACAATGCAGCCCTGCACCCTTCACACAAAAGCAGCCACAGATGAGTGTGCGTGAACGAGCATGGCCGCATCACTTGTGGACACAGCGCGGGCATCACCTCCACATGTCACGGAACAGCCTTCTGTTGACCGCTGTGCATCACACTTACGAACACCAAGTGGTTCTTAGCTCCTGGGCGTGCAGAGATGGGAGGTGGGCAGGGCCCGGCCTGGGCTGGCAAGACCTGACCAGCCACCTCCCCCCAGGCCCTCGCTTCGAGCAAGACTGCCGAGGATTGCCGCAGGCCTCAGGAAGGCGCAAACTGTGCTGCCGCCACACACGCTCCCGTGGCTGGGAAGCCCTCCCGCAGGCAGACCGCCCCGCCACGCTCGGGAAGACAGCAAAGACCCGGAGCCGGCCTGCGGGCTCTGATTCACCACGGCCTGCTTGCTCCGTGCCAGACGCCAAGGGAAGCACTCCGCGCCCACTTCCTTTCGAACCTCAGCACCCTTCCAAGGCAGGCTGTGATTCTTATCTTAGAAGTTAAGAAAACGAGAGGCTAGCTACCTCGCCCCAGACCACTGGGCCAGGAGGCGGCCTGGACCTGGCGGACCTCAGGCCCACCGGCCGAGTCAGCGAGTGGGCCGCCAGGGGCCACGCCTCCTCAGAAAGGCCCTGCGGCTCCTCCTGTGCCCTGCCAGGGCCACCCCGCTGCTGGGCAGGCCCAAGCCTCTCATGACCACAGCTGGCCTGCGCGCCAAGAAACGCGTGACCGGATCCTGTCAGTTCTGCCTGGGGACACCACGAAGGAGGCATCAACTACCCTGCCCTGTATCTTTACAGCACACGCCACAATTACCTGGAATACGCACGCACTGTGGAATGGCTGAACCGCGCTAACTCACATGCACGTTGCCTCAGCTACACAGCTGTGTGTGTGGCGAGAACCTGCAAGATGGACTCGCAGCCGGGCACGGTGGCTCACGCCTGTCATCGCAGCACTTGGGGAGGCAGAGGTGAGGGTCGCCTGAGTCCAGGAGACTGAGACCAGCCTGGGCAACATGGCAAGACCTCGTCTCCACAACGAATCAAAAACTAAGCCAGGTGTGGTGGCACACACCAGGGGTTCCAACTACTTGGAAGGCTGAAGCAGAAGGGTCCCCGGAGCCCAGCAGGTGGAGGCTGCAGTCACTGTGAGCGTGCCACTGCACTCCACCCCGGGCGACAGAGTGAGACTCTGACTCAAAAGCCAAACAAGACAGCAAAAACTTCTCTCCCAGCAACATTCAGAAACACGTAGCACATTGTCACTGATGAGTCACCTGCAGCACAACAGACCTCTAGAACTTACTCCTCTGACCTGTACCTGTGTGTCCTCTGACCACTGTCCCCCACCCCGCCCCCTGGTGACCACCATTCTACTCTCTACTTCCCCAAGCGCCCCGCCTCAGCTCCCGTACAAGTGGGGCCAGGTGGCTTGTCTTCTGCACCTGGCAAACTTCACATCCATCGTCCCTCCTTCCACCCTCCTCTTCAGGTCCCCGTCTCTGTGGAGACACGTCCCTGCCGTGCGCACGCTTCCTCGAGCACAGCACGCCAGCGCCAGGACAGGAGCCTAAGCTCACTCGCGGTCCCTGCCGCCCGGCAAGTGCTACCTGTGGGCCAAGGGCAGGTGTCTTACCTCCCTGGCTGAAGTTGCTGCTGGAAAGGTACGCCTGGATGGTGGCATTGTGGAGTGTGATCAGCACATTGTCCACGTGGACCCGGGTGCCACTGACACACCTGTATTTTGTGTCTATGTCTGCTTTGATGTCAGTGACGGATTCCACGGACTTGGTTTCTAGATAAAAGAAAAGCATGTTGGCAATGACACGCAGTGCCTAGTAGAACGTAACACTTGCCAGGCCCCAGCCTGATCTCCATCGCACCATCATCAGTCAGTCAGTTTTGGTTCTCACCTTTGGAGCTTGAGTTGGGAAACGTGAATGTATCTGACAAGTTATAAGCAAAACTCAGGCGCTGGACACCGTAACGTGTCCCATTTCTCACAAAACTGAGGGTCAGTGAATGTCCTCTTCCGAAAGCAATCACAAGACGGGGGTCAGAAGTGTTCTCTTGACCACAAGAGCTGCTGTTTAGCTCTTCTGCGTTTGGTGGTAGGACAAAGGTCGCATTCTAGAATAAACACAATTGGAATGTAAGTTATTAAAGGGATTCAGAAAGACCACAGAAAAGGAGTTCCTGTAAGTCCGATATAAACTTACAGCTCATTTCCAGTTCACATATCACTGTTAAAGAATTAAGTGTAAGAGATTATCATATAATTAAAAATTTGTCTTCCATGAATATAATTTTAATTCATAACAGAATTAAGACTAAAGTTACCTTGAAACTAAAGTGTCTGGAAACTGAAACAATTCACACTGGCTTCAGACTGAGTTACATGTTTACTTTTTTCAGATGTAACACCGTACTTTTTAACTTTACTTTTCTGTTTATGGGCCCACAAACAGAAAAGCAGTGGCTCACGCCTATAATCCCAGCACCTTGGGAGTCTGAGGCACAAGAATTGCTCAAGTCCAAAGGTTCAAGACCAGCCTGGGCAACACAGTGACACCTCGTTTCTACAAAAATAAAAAAATTAGCTGGGTGTGGTGGTGGCCCACCTGTAGGCCCAGCTGCTCGGGAGGCTGAGGCGAAAGGATCGCCTGAGGCCAGGAGGGTGAGGTTGCAATGTGTTGTGATCATGCCACTGCACTCCAGCATGGGCGACAGAGTAAGACCCCAACTCAAAAACAAAGTAAGTTACTTGTTTAAAGAATATCTCTAAAGAAGTGTTTATTGCAAAAGTGTTTGAATTTATTGTGAAAAACAACGAACATTCATCCAAATGAACTGGATAGATCACATGAGCTGCAATGGAGCCATCTACTCAAGCGGGCCTTGGAAAACACAGAACTCCATGAGGTGACAAGGACGTGTTCTGTGAAATAATAAAGTGCATAAAAGCATGTGGATGGGCCAGGTGCAGTACCTCACGCCTATAATCCCAGCAATTTGGGGAGGCAGAAGTGAGAGGATTGCCTGAGCCCAGGGGTTTGAGACCAGCCTGGGCAACATGGCAAGATCTCATCTCTACAATAAATCAAAAATTAGCCAGGCGTGGTAGTGCATGCCTGTAGTTCCGGCTACTTGGAAGGCTGAGGCAGAAGTATCGCCGGAGCCCAGCAGGTCAAAGATGCAGTGGCCAGGAGTGTGCCTCTGCCCTCCAGTCGGGGCGATAGAGTGAGACTCCAACTCGGAAAAAAAAAAAGAAAAAAAAATTAGCCAGGCATGGTGACGCACACCTATAGTTCCAGCTACTTGGAAGGCTGAGGCAGAAGGATCGCCTGAGCCCAGCAGATAAGGCTGCAGTGGCCATGAGAGTACCACTGCACTCCAGCCTGGGCAACAGAGTGAGACTCCAACTCAAAAAAAAAAAAAAAAGAAATCTAGGAAATACAAAAGCAATACTCATCCTGTAGAAACACACAGTCGTTTTAACAAAACTGCTACAGAACATTTTAACCAAACTAGTACACTGCTTATAAGTGCGGCACGTCAACCATTTATACACATTTCTTAGAGTATGATTTCTCTAAAGCAAATTCGACACACCAAAAAGCCACATTTGTAGAGCTGTTCACCAGGCATGAAAAAGAATGTAAGAAAACTTACCCACTATCAACCAGGAAGTGGTATAGCAAATTACTTTTGATTAACACAATGAAGTATTGCATTGTGATTCTAAAAGATAATCCTGAGGAAAACTGGAACAGTGCTCATAACAGTGAAAAGCAGAACAGAAAATGGTTTGTATGTTATGCCTGCGGTTACAGTGTATATACTAGCTCAATTGATCCCAGAAGCAAGCACACCCACAGGATAAGAAGTGTGTTACAGTGGGATCACTTTCCCAAGAGCCATCTTTGAAGTGCTCCGATCACCCGCTTCCACACCATGGGGGCCCAGATGCTCCAGCGTCTCCTACCTGAGAGCCACTCTTGGTGTCATAGCTCAGCATGAAGGTGGCAGAGAATTCGGCCATCACACAAGCTGTCCCATTGCTGTTCTTCACCACAAACACCGTGGAGGCACCATGCACGAGGCCTGCAGATTCCAGGAAGGACAGGGACTGTCAAACGCCTTTCTGAAAATACAGCTGGGTCTTTCCTTTTCCTACAGTCACAGTGGTGATGGCGTTTACCAGCAGACCCCGCTGCGAAGAACTAGACCCAGGGGTTACGTGGGCTGGGTCACCTGGTGTCCACTCAGTCACTCTGGGACAGGGTTCTGAAACTGTCACCTGTAAACCCAGCTGACCTCTTGGCCAACCTGGTCAGTGGCGATTTCAGAGCACTCATCAGGAAGGTGCGTGTCAACATCTGGGTCAACCTGGCCACGTGCCGCCCCCTGCTTCTCAGAGGACCTCCTGAGATGTGGGGGGCCTTTAGGCACAAGCGACTACAACACCAGCCTCCCGCGGGCACCCACGGGAACACGTGCAGTGTCCTCACTGCAGTCCTCACCTGCTACTCAGAGTCTCAGGGACGGGCACTGTGTCGGGAAGAGCCATGGACTCAAAGCTCTGCTCTGTGCCCAGTTCCAGAAAGGTCCTTGAAGCAGTGACCTGACCTGGCTGTGTGACCTCAAGCATGTCACTCTGCCTGTCTAGACGGGCTTTCACAGCCTGAAGCAAAGGGCAGAGTGAAGCTGCACGGGTCTTTCACCTGAGAACAGCTCTGCTGAACAGCTCCTCTCTGGCCTCTGCACCCCCCTCCTGAACAAGACACTCTGGACAAATGTAATCGGATCACTACGGTCAAGAGCTGGTAACTTTACGGACTGCACTGCTTTATCATAGTTACTTAACGGACCGGCAAAAGGACGCACTATTGCTAATTCTAAAGCAAACCTTCACCAGTCGTCGGTGTAGAAAACCACCGGGATCAATGTGCTGCCACTTGTCCATGCTGCTGCAAGCCTGGGCACGCCATCCGATGACACTCATACACCTGGGGTCTGAGCTGTCACTCTAAGTGTGCATGCCCTCCCAACAACACATGCTGGGTGGGGTCTGATCCATCTCTCCAAGTGTAAATATATCTCAAGCATATCTTGGGGCAGCATACTGAAACACAGAACACTAAACTTTCATTTAAGATCCTATTCCCAGGCCAGGCAAGGTGGCTCACACCTATAATCCCAGCACTTTGGGAGGCTGAGGTGAGAGGATTACCTGAGCCCACAGGTTCAAGACCAGCCTGAGCAACTTGGCGAGACCCCATCTTTACAATAAATAAAAAATTAGCCGGACATGGTGGTACATGCCTGTAGTTCTGGTTACCTGGAAGGCTTAAGCGGAAGAACAACTGAGCCCTGCAGGTCAAGGCTATGGTGGCCATGAGCATACTACCGCACTCCAGCCTGGGCAACAGAGTGAGACTCCAACTCAGAAAAAAAAACCTAAAAAAACCCTATTCCCCGGAAAATTAAAAGTACTTAGTAAGCCCAATTTCTTTCACCCCCTGGGACTTTCAACAAACAAAATCTTAGAGCAACAGCGATTCAGGCCAACAGCAGAGCGTAACTAAAAGTCCCAACAACCTCCCTGCGAGCCTCTGGTAACGGACATGCCAACATTTGTGTCCACAAAGAAAGCTGCTATGTGAGAATTAAACGAACTACAGAATAAAGGAAACCTGATTTTACTATTTTTTTTTGAGTTGGCATCTCATTCTGTCACCCAGGTTAGAGTGCAGTGGCACAATCCTGGATCACTGCAGCCTCAACCTCCTGGGCTCAGGCAATCCTTCTACCTCAGCCTCCCAAGTAGCTGGGATTACAGGCAGGTACCACCATGTGCAGCTGATTTTTTTTTTTTTTAATTTTTATAAACACTAAGTCTCCCACTCCTGGGCTCAAGCAATCCCCTTTGCCTTGGCCTCCCAAAGTGCCAGGATTACAGGTGTGAGCCACCATGCCCAGCCTGTGCAATGGTCTACCCAATTTATTGTCTGTTTTGCTTTGCCTTTTTCTTTTTTTGAGTTAGAGTCTCACTCCATCGTCCAGGCTGGAGTGCAGTGGCATGTTCACAGCCACCTGGGGCTCAGGCAATTCACTCCCCTCAGCCTCCCAAAGTGCTGGGATTACAGGTTGAGCCACCAAGCCCAGTCTTTTTTTTTGTTGTTTATTGTAGACATGAGGTATTGCCAAGTTGCCCAGACTGGTCTTGAACCCATGGGCTTAGGCAATCCTCTCATCTCAGCCTCTCAAAGGCCTGAGATTATAGGTGAGAGCTACCGCGCCCAGCTGCTTTGCTTTTTAAACTACCCTCTGCAATACCGAGCAGTATTGTTAAAAGCGTCTCCAGTCAATCTAGAGATGATGCCAGTACTTTTTTTTTTTTTTTTGAGTTGGAGTCTCCCTCAGTCGCCCAGACTGGAGTGCAGTGGCTGCTCCCAGCCACCGTAGCCTCAACCCGCTGGCTCCAGCGATCCTTTCGCCTCAGCCTTCCAAGTAGCCAGAACTACAGGCACGTGCTACCACACGCGGTTAATTTTGATTTATTGTAGAGATGAGGTCTTGCCAAGTTGCCCAGGCAGATCTCGAACCCGCGGGTTCAGGCAATCCACTCACCTCAGCCTCCCAAAGCACTGGGATTACAGGCTGAGCCACCGAGCCCGGCTTGTGCCAGCACTTATTTTTGACTCAGCAAAGGTTCTAGAAAACGAGAACACATTCTCGGATCCTATCTGTGGAGACTGGGACGTGCACACAGGAGCGAGAGGCTGCCAGCAAGGAAGAAGAGGTGGGCCAGCCGGGACCGCACACACATGACAAGTTCGGACAGCAGCCGCAGAAAGACGCCAATACTGGCTGGTGCTCAACGTGGACACGGGTGCCTGCCACCCCGCCTGGGATTCCTCAGCGGGAGGGTCACATGCCCTACGCACCCACCACTGCCCAGCAGGACGCCTTGTGGGTTCCTGCACAAGCCGGATTTGACCAACCTGCCCTTTTATAAGACAGCTTCCTAAACCATTAAAATGCTTTTTACTGACCTGGGGCTCTTTGCTAGAAAAAAAATTTCACAGTAAATCATTTTTCAATCACACACCTTTTTCAATTAATAAATACGCTGGCCGGGCACAGTGGCTCACTCCTGTCATTCCAGCACTTTGGCAGGCCAAGGTGAAAGTACTGCCTGAGCCCATGGGTTCAACACCAGCCTGGGCAACTTGGCGAGACCTCATCTCTACAATAAATCAAATCAAAAAATTAGCTGGGCGTGGTGGTGTGCACCTGTAGTTCCAGCTACTCGGAAGGCTGAGGTGGAAGGATCCCCTGAGCTCAGCGGGGCGAAGCTGAGGTGGCTGTGAGCTCGCCACTGCACTCCAGCCTGTGCGACAGAGTAAGAGTCTGACTCAAAAAAGTAAATACATACTATACATACAAATGTTGAGAGACTGAGCTTCCAAAAGAAAAAAAGAAATATTACTAAAACAAATTTAAAGCAAGTGCTAGCAGCATGAGATGACTGTATTTACTCTGGAAGAGCCTGCAAATTTTCCACTATTAAAATAAGAGACTCAGCCTGAGAAGGCAATTTCGGTCAAGAGAAAACTGCCGACAAGAGCATCAGCACACGGAATCACCAGATAAATGTGTGTGCACTAGTGGTCAGAATGTTTCTGCGATTCTACAACCGGCAAGAGGATGGGAAAAAAGATAAATGTTTCCATCATTTGACAGATGCAGCAACCCAACAGGACAGTGGCAGGCAGGTGGCGTCCCCGAGCCTCCATGGCCCTCCCTGGCAGCCCAGAGCCAGCGGGATCACGTCTCCAGGGCCACACACAGGAGTCCCTTTGGCCTGGGCCTTCCCACTGGGGAAATTCAACACTCTGGAGCAAGTGCAGTCGGGCAAGCACATGCGCTCCTGAGTCAGCCTGGGCTCTGGAGGCCCCCTCACCCCCCACAGGCACCACAGGCGGGCGGGGCAGAGGACAGCTTGGGCTGGTGCAAGAGCGCCTGCTGAGGGAACCGACACCCACTCTCACATCAGCTGTTGCTCAACAGCAGCTCTGCCCAGGGACAGAGGGCGCCATCGGGTTCCTCACTCAATCCTCAGCACGCGGCACAAAACAGCATCTTATTTGACCAACACCTGCAGTGCACTCACCAAGTGCCAGGTGCCGCTCCGAGCACGGCACAGTTCATCGGCATGGCAACCCCAGTGGGGGCACTGTCCCGATACCCATTGACAGAGGTGGAGACTGAGGCAGAGAGAAGCCAACAACCAGCTCCAGGTCTCACCGCCACGAATGGTACAGCATCAAACCTGGAACTGGACTGCTGCCGACTCAGAGACATGCCCACAGGCCAGCAGCAGTGCCTGGGCCACGTCTCAGCTACGCTGCCCCTCTGACACTGGGAGGGAGGGATAGGGCTTCTGCCCAGACATTAAGGAGATGAGCAGCTGAAGGATCATGTGAGGTTTTTTTGTTTTTTGTTTTGAGTTGGAGTCCCACTCTGTCACCCAGACTGGAGTGCCATGGCATGCTTTCGGCCACCGCATCCTCGACCTGCTGGGCTCCGGCGATCCTTCCGCCTCAGCCTTCCAAGGAGCTGGAACTACAGGCACGCGCTACCACATTCGGCTAATTTTTGATTTATTGTAGAGATGAGGTTTCACCAAGTTGCCCAGGTGGGTCTTGAACCCGCGGGCTCAGGCCATCCACTCACCTCGGCCTCCCAAAGTGCGAGATGACAGGCTGAGCTACCGAGCCCGGGTGAGTAAGTTTCTTTTAAACATTTTTCATATGAAATCACAGCCTAGTTTCCCGACTTGATTCTTTTAAATCCAGTGGGATTTTTTTACTTAACTACTGACATGCAATCACCTATGACGATTTATTTATTTGAGTTGGAGTCTCCCTCTGTCACCCAGGTTGAAGTGCAGTGGCATGCTCACAGTCACTGCAGCCTCCACCTGCTGGGCTCAGGCGACCCTTCCACCTCAGCCTTCCAAGGAGCTGGAACTACAGGCAACATGCACCACACCTGGTTAATTTTTTGATTTATTGTAGAGATGAGGTCTCATCCAATTGCCCAGGCTGGTCTCGAACCTGCTGACTCAGGCAATCCTCTCACCTTGGCCTCCCAAAGTGCTGGGATTACAGGCGTGAGCCACAGCACCTAGCCTGATCTATGATGATTTAAAGAAAAAGACGAGGCCTCTGTCTCAGGCACCGAGTCATCACCTCTAGAGGCAGGGTGCCATTACATGTGTTTTTAAAAAGGCCGGGCGCAATGGCTCAAGCCTATATTCCCAGCACTTTGGGAGGTCAAGGCGAGAGGACTGCCTGAGCCCACGGGTTAGAGACCAAGCCGGCGAAACTTGGTGAGACCTTTTCTCTACAATAAATAAAAAAAATAGCTGGGCATGATAACAGGTGTCTGTAGTTCCAGAAGGATCACCAACGCTGGGGTGGCCATGAGCAGGCCACCGCATCCTGGCCTGGGCGACAGAGTAAGACTCCAACTCTAAATAAATAAACAAATAGTTCAAGACCCACCTGGGCAACTTGGCAAGACTTCATTTATCTGATGATTCCGTGTGCTGATGCACTTGTAGCCAGTTTTCTTTTGATCAAAATTGCCTTCTCAGGCTGAGTTTCTTATTTTAATAAGTCAAAAATTAGCTGGGCGTGGTAGCGCGCACCTGTAGTTCCAGCTACTTGAAAGGGTGAGGCGGAAGGATCGCCGGAGCCCAGCAGGTTGAGGCTGCAGTGGAGGCTGCGGTGGCCAGGAGCAGCCACTGCACTCCACTCTGGGTGACAGAATGAGACTCCAACTCAAATAAATAAATAAATAAATAAAATAAAAAGCTGACCTGTGCACACATTCAAGAACACAAACGCAGAGATTTCTTCATCTGTGTCCTGCCGGGACACAGAAAAATCAGCAGAGCACAGCCAGAGGAAGGGCAGCGGGGCCACCATCATCTGGGCTGGCTCTCACTTCACAGATTCAAAGTGATGGGACCACAAGAACATTCTGACCCAAACCCAGAGATGAACCGTCATTTAATTGCAGGACTAACAAACTCCCATCATCAAGGGCAACGTTAATTAGCATAAAGTAAGCCGGGCTCGGTGGCTCAGCCTGTAATCCCGTGCCTTTAGGAGGCTGAGGTGAGTGGATTGCCTGAGCCCGCAGGTTCGAGACCCGCCTGGGCAACTTGGTGAGACCTCATCTCTACAATAAATCAAAAAA